GCAGATGCTGGAAAATCTGAGATAACAAGGTGTAGAGCTGGATGAACACAGCAGGTCAAGCAGCATCATAGGAGCAGGAAGGCTGACGTTTCGGGCCTAGACCCTTCATCAGAAAATTAGTGAGACATGATTTCCCATGCACAAAGCCATGCTGACTATCACTAATCCGTCCTTGCCTTTCCAAATGCATATAAATCCTTTCTCTTAGAATCCCCTCCACCACTGACATTAGGCTCACTGGTCTTTTGTTCCCTGGTTTTTCCCAGCAGCCTTTCTTAAATAATGGCACAACATTCTCCTTTACCCAATCTGCCAAGCTATCTTGTGTTCCCTTTTTGCCCTCCTGATTTCCTTCTTAAGTGCACTCCTACACCCCCTATACTCCTCAAAGGGATTCACTGGATCCCAGTTGTCTATATGTGACATGTTTCCTTCATTTTCTTGACCAGGACCTTTATCTCTAGTCATCCAGTGTTCTCCACTCTTGCCACACTAGCAGGAACATGCTGTCCCTGAACTCTTGTTATTTCGCTTTTGAAAGCCTCCCACTTGCCTGGCGTCCCTTTAGCTGTGAACAACTTCGCCCAGTCAACTTTTGAAAGAACCTGTCTAATACCATCAAAATTGGCCTTGCCCCAATTTAGAAATTTAACTTGTGAGCCAGGCCTATGCTTTTCTATAACTATTTTAAAACTTGTAAGATTATGATCACTGGTTCCAAACTGGTCCCCTGTGATTGACACTTGCCTTGCCTTATATCCCAAGCGGACGTTGAGTTTTGCCTCTAAAGGGCCATCTACGTATTGATTGAGAGAGTTTTCCTGAATACACTTAACAACTTCCTCCACAACCAAGCCATTAACAATAAGGCATTTTCCAGTCTATGTTTGGAAAGTTGAAATCCCCTATTATTACAACCCTATTATTCTTACAGCTATCTGCGATCTTGCTACATATTTGCTCCTCAATTTCCTGCTTGCAGTTAGGGTGCCTTTAGTACAATCCTATCAAAATTATTACCCCCTTCTTTTTTCTCAGTTCCACTCATACAGCTTCACTGGATAATCCCTCAGGAATATCCTCTAAGTACTGCCATGATGATATCCCTAATCAAAAATCCCTCCTCTCTTGCCTCCCCTCCTTTCCTTCCTATAGCATCTGCACCCCTAATATTGAGCTGCCAGTTCTGTCCCTCCATTAGCCACATCTCTGTAATAGCTATGATATCCCAGGCCCATGTTTCCAACCATGCCCCGAGTTCATGTGCCTTACCTGTCACGCCTCTTGCATTGAAATAAATGCTGTTTCATTCATCAGCCTTCCCTCGTTCTCTGCCGTGCTCTTGCCTGCCTTGTCTATTTAACTTGCTCTTTTTAACTCCTGTACCTCAAGCTTCTCTCTCGTCTCACTACTAGTTCGGCCCCCCCTCCCCCACCAGACTAGTTTAAACCTTCCCGCATAGCTCTAGCAAATCTCTTTGCCAGGATATTGGTCCCCGCCAGTGCAACCCGTCCTCTTGTCAGGTCACTTCTGCCCCAGCAGAGGACTGCTGCCTGCAAATGTAGTGCCAGGGAGCCATGAATCTAGCTCCTTTCATCTGTAAGCCAACACTAAGATTAAATATTCATTTTTATTATAAATGTTTTGGGACAATGCAACAATTCTAATATGACAGCGTTTCCAGTAGCCTTCTTTTATATTATATAAAGTACTCACCCACCTGGTCAGAACATACAACTGTCAAAATCATTCACAGCAAGTAGATCTCTCTGGATAGGATAATGAGTCAAACGCATTTTTGATATGTAAAAGGAGAATGAATTGATCCCTTTGTCAGGCATGGAGCTGGAGAGTTGTGGGAAAGGCAAAATGTTCAGGAATGCTCTGGGAGAAGCAGTTTGACTGTGTAGTGACCTGGAAAGGATGTTGCCTTATGTGATTGGTAGTAGAGTATTACACGAGTGATACTGACATAATGTCTGGTAGCTAATAGAGCCAGCTACACGATGATCCATTGTGCAAACTTCTTCCAATTGATGAGTGACTTCAGTGAAAAGATCAACCTGTCATCTAATGTTCACTTTGGTTTAAAAGAATAGATTGAGAGGGAGATATGTGGTACCAAACCGCCTCCCCATTAATGTCAATAATAGCTGACTGTTGGTTGTTGTTGCTGCTGGGAATAGACTAGACCTAGAGAACAGGATTGCAACTCATCCACAGATCTGGCCTGCTTTGTCCATTGTCAGCCTTGCCCTGATGGGTAGCCTTTGAGTCAAGACATAATTTGTTCAAGCCCCAACCCCTCAGACATAGGAATGTAAACTTTAGGCTGACCATTTCAGGACAATCCTGTGGCAGTGCATCACTGTCCAATAAAGTACTACACTGCGGCCCCGTCTGCTTGCCGGTCATTGTGCAAGACCCCATGGTACCATTTCCAGCAGATGAGTTCTCCCTCATACCCTCTTGTTGCTGCTTGGGGAAGTTTGCCCTGTTCAAATGGCGGCTAGCCACATTTCCTACTTCACCGCTGTGAGCACGCTTCAGAAAGTACTTCATTAGCTTCGAGACACTTCCTGGGTTAGTGAAAGGTCCGTATTATATAAATAACATAAAACCTAAGAGGCATGTGTACATTTTTTTAATCATTGGACGGTAAGAATCTTGATCTTTTCTGCCTTTTGAATAAGTGCTGGGGTGATTTGTTGCCCTTGTGTTATCAAGGTATCTAAATCAGTACACAACTAGAATCCACCTCAGGACCTCAAAAGTAACGACAGAAAATGGTCAAAACTCTTTGCATATCAGACAACATCTGTGAAGAGAAACAGTCAATGTTTCAGGTTGATGATTCTTCACCAAGAACAGGATGACGGGTTTTCATTGAATTGAAACGTTAACTCTGCTTTCTGGTGTGCAGTGTTCAAGTATTTTATGTTTTTATTTCAGATTCCAGTATGTACAGTACTTTCTTTTTGTGTTAGGATATCTGACCTGCATTCATTGGGCAGTTCATCATCCCACTGACCAATTCCAAGTGTGCTGGTACAACACTAAAAATGTTATTTGTTGCTTGCCTTGTGAAGTTTATTGAAATTTGGTGTCATTGATTTTTTTTTAAAATCGAAGGGTTATTATTTGGTCCTCCACCCCTTTACCAAGTTAATGTCCGTGCAATAATTTACAAACGGGAAATAAAATATATCTTTTGAGGTGCTAGTAGAAAGGACAAGCTCCAACGAAGAAAATCAAATAGATCCTGAAACAGGTCCACCGATCACAATACATGATTAACCCATGTCCATTCAATATAATGCAGAAAGTGCAAAAGCTTTGTGATCTTATTTGAATGATGGTTGTGTATGATCAGCACAAATCACACTGTTCATTGGATACAGGGGTCATACAATCATAACTCAGTGGACTTTCTCTTCATGGATGGAAATATCACTGGCAAGGCCAGCATTTATCAATTACCTAAATGCCTGTGAGAATGTGGTGACGAGCCTCCTTGATGAACTATTGCAATCCAGGTGATGTGCAACCCACAGTGCTTTTTAGAGAGTGAGTGCCATGATTTTGACTAAGTAACAGTGAAGGAATGGCAGTATAATTCTCCAAATTGAATGTTGCGTTATCTCAGGCAAACTTGCAAGTGGTGGTGTTCCCAATCACCTGCTGCCTTTAAGTGGTGGAGGTGCCATTGAAGGAATCTGGATGATATTCTGCAATCCATCTTGTGGACATTATGCACTGCTGCCATGATGGTGAAGGAAGTAGATGGGCTACTGATCGAATGCCTGCTTCTTCTTCCCATTACACTCTCTTCACAGTCCTCAACTGCAAATAAGGAAGGCTCATTCAGATAGATTTACATATATTCTTTATTCTTGAAGAGGCTGCACCCTAACAGCCTGTGAGGTGCAACACATCAGGCTATTCTCTCTTTGTAGTGGCAGGTTTCCCCCTTCAATATCCTGAAAGGGCACTGGGGTATATATTGAACCTGAGCCAGAAAAATGGGTTGTAATCATGGCCTAATTGAGCCAGTGTTGGAATGCCCTGATCTGACAAACTTCAGGCTGGAGGAGAAAAAACCCAGGTCTGAAATCTTCCTTTCATGTAAAGAAAGTACCTCTGAAAAATTGAGCAGTATTGGATTAGCATCTCTTGATGTCATGCCAGTATTTGAACAGAAACACCTGTTGCCATTTTACCAGCTCTTCTATTAATGTTTCAGTACTCCACCATCAAAGCAAGTTTAAATAGTTGAAGCTATAACTGAGGTTTTGTTTGGCTTGGTTATAGTTGACCGAACAGTGTATAAAGTGCTGCTGTAGGGCCTTTCCCATATGAGACTGGTGACAGCAATGCCTTTAGGCAGCTAAGTAGCAGCACCTTTCTGTAAGGCTGAAACTAATTCAATTAGAATATTTATCATATTGGTATTTGGGACAGCTGTAATGTTGATTGTCAAGTAATGAAATGAATAAATCAGAACATGAAGTGTGTCAAACAGGCACAGACAATACTAACATGTAGTGAAAAAGGAAGTCTTACATTTATTTAATACTTATGTTTTCAGGTTGTTCCCTTTATAGCCAAGAAGCTGTTTCACTCACTGTAATGCAGAAAGCACTGCAAGATCTCACAAATAAATGATAGCCATGTAAACTGTTTGTTAGTTGAGGGATAAATAGTCACCATGTTATGATGATGAATCAGAACCAGCAAGATTTTACAGACATTTTTTAACTGTTAATTCCAAAATATTTCTTTTCCAAAGAAAAGTGCTACAGAAAAAGAAAAATTGCCGATGTAAATTCAGTCACTGGCAAAGTCCAATGTGAGGCCAATGGAATGTCACAGCTGTACAGAGTTGGGGAAACTTAAACAGGGAGTGATTTAACAAGGAAAATTAATGAGGGGCTGAGTATACCCCTGCTCTCAGCAGAAAGTCAGTTCTTGCAGACGTGTTTGTTTTTTTTTCTCTCCAGGAACATACAAAAAAAAGTATTGAAAACTGATTGCAACACCAGGCTGTGCGTTGTCCAGATGTTCTAGAGTGCTCCGAGGGCCACAGCTTTGAGAACAGTCATTTAAACACCCATGCAAAGCAAGTAAAACAAAGGAGTAAAACTCTGAATGTTACAGCCAGTACAATCGAAAGCAAGACAGAGTAAGTTCAGCCTACAAAACCATGAATCTCTCAATCAACTGCTCAATAGCCAATGTCAATGCTACTGTGGTATGCAGGAACAGCTGCAATGTCTTTGTATCTGCTGTTCACTAACAATTCAAATACTGTCCCTCTTTTGTCTTTTATCACTTTTGTATTCACCTCTCATTTCTACTCTTGTGCATATGTGTGTTATGTTCCTCTTTCTCCTCACATTTAGTAATTAATGAACTCTCTTGGTCTTTTGTTAATTCAGGAAAGCCTGATTTTAATGGCTTCCTTTAAAACGTAAGTTCATTTAGGTCTGAGGAGAAGAGTATGCACAAGGGAAGGATTCCTTTTTAAATTAATTTTTTATGCAACTAACCAAATGGGTGGGTGAATAATCAAGGAGAGTCTGTTCAACCCTCCTCACCTGGGAGCTTTAATATTTTGTTGTATCCCAGCTGCCAGAATTAAAAAAAAATTGGGGAAGCTTGCCTGAGGTCTGATCAGAACTGAGAATAAAAAAAAATTGGGGAACCTTGCCCCTTGTTAGAACAGTGAGAAGACTCTAAAGTACTGTGCTGGATTTCTGTGAAAAGTGTCACTGCCCCTGGGAGGACAAATGGATTTTAAGCTTAAGGTTTTTCCAAGAGATATTTTCAGTGCTGAACTGGAGCCTGTGCTACATTCTGTCCATGGAACAGGCCTTGCACCACAACCTTTAAACATGGAGAATGACCCCAAAGAGCAATACTAAAAGAAGTGGAAGTGCTGTCGGAAAAGATGTTGATCACCATGTTTCTGATCACTCAAGTTGAATGACCAAAGCATCTGTACAGGTCAGCAAATCAGTTTTGTACATGTACTGATCTACTTCAGTTACTACAGGAGATTTGAAAACTAAAACCATTGTTAGCAATCTTAGTATTTTGTTTTGCTTTTTACATGTGCCTAAACATATACATAATCTTGTCCTGAAGAGGAGTCCTGGACCCTAAATGTTAACTCTGATTTCTCTCCACAGATGCTGCCAGAACTGCTGAGGTTTTCCAGCAGTTTATTTTGTTTCAGATTTCCAGCATCTGCAGTTAACTCAATTTTTTTCATACACATAATTTTGCTGGCAGCTATTATCTATGAATCCTTGTGAACAAGCTTTCCTGATTTCATTGCTCTTAAGAAACCTCATGCTACTAGTAATAGATTGTTTTTGCCTTTGATTTTTTAAAAAAAAATGCTGGTGGGAGACTGTGAGCTACTACAGGAAGAAAGGGCTATCGGCCAATTTAAACCAAATCTCAAAACCCCCTCCTCTCAGAATTACTGGACCTTCATATCTTAAAATCATAGAATCCCTGCAGTGTAGAAACAGTCCATTTGGCCCATCAAGTCCATGCCGCCCCTCCGAAGAGCATCTCACCCAGACCCACCCCCTACCCTATCCCTGCATTTCCCATCCTAGACACTATGGGCAACTTAGCACAGCCAATCCACCTAACCTGCACATCTTTGGACTGTGGGAGGAAACCAGAGCACCCAGAGGAAACCCACGCAGACATTGGGAGAATGTGCAAACTCCACACAGAAGTAAACACTTCACTGTTGTTCCAGGTTGGCACCTTTATTGATTAGAATGATTATTGGTCAAAGCACGAAAGACATAACAACAAAATGGACAAGCAATGAACACCTAGTATGGCAGAAAAGCTTGACACGAGGATCGACGCAAATGCTGTGAGTTTTGAGCTTGATTTCAGATCATGCACACACAAGTTAAATAATGCGGAGGAGGTAACTCAATATTTCTTCTTCCTCAGCTATTGTCCCTTTTTTGAGAGTTCTTTTTATTCTTTCACAAGCTCTGGGCATCACAAGTTAAACCAGCATTAATTGCTTATCTCTAATTGCCCAGAGGGCAGTAAGAACTCAATCACATTGCTGTGGGTTTGGAGTCACACACGTAGCAAGATCAGGTATGGACAATAGAAATGTCACAGTATCTCATACTTTTGAGCTGGTGCTTACAAATTAAATAGCAGTCATAAACTTTGGATCTTCAAATGGGTTATTAATTATTGAGGGAGTTACATGAGAACCCGTTACTTGAATTTTCACATGACATTTTCATTCTCATGTGAAAGAGAGGGGATGGGTAATTTTACTTTTCCTACTGTATTGTATGTGCATCTCTGAAAGACCAAGCCATATTTAACACTCAGAATGGTTGTAATATTAATGTTTGTCTGAATTGTTTCTCCGACTTGTCATCACAAATGTCATCTGCAAGATTTTCTTGAACTATATCTTCCCTTTTATCATCTTTCTGTTTTGCCTGCATGCAACTTTCTACTTTTTCTCCTCCCACTCTACAAATAGCTGGAGTTACTTTGATCATTATCTCTATTTAAAAGAGTTCAAAAAGTCCACCTCTTAAAATTCCAAAAGGCATGAGGCTGATGTTTATAAGTATTATCAAAACTTGCCTTTAAAACTGACTTTGACGTGCTTTATAAACTCTTAACAATTTGCGATTCCTTTTTGATGTGAAATATTCTGACCTAAGTTTCCACCCCCTCACCTCAACCCCTCCTTGATTGGGATCTGGAAAAGCAGGGTGAGACAGAGTTTCTGCCTGTCTCTGCACTCTGTCTCTCTCTCCCTTGCCTCGATTCTGAATTCAGTGCTGAGTATATTTACATGTAAGAGATAGCTTCCTCCTCCAGGATTGCTTCAGATTCTCCGGCAATTGAAGATCAATCTGCAGAAATTGCTATGCGTAACACCAAGAACAAAGCATTGGGACAAAAAAAGTTTTCTTTTTTTAGAAAATATCTTTTGAATACTTTTCTTTGCCAGTTGCAAGAACCTTTGGAAATACATGAAAAGGCTGGTTGACTGAGAGTGAGGTATAAGGAGTGCTGTGTGAGTTTGAACATGTTGGATTACCAACAACACGACTGTGGGCTTAGAAGCAGGAAGTCAGGTGATAAAACCCCAGCTATCTGCCCTTTGGGAGTTGGCAATCCTACTTTGGGAATTATGCCAGTCAGAGTCTTGCTGCACTGTGGTGGGTCTCTTACTCATCAAGCTTCTCTGTTTGATATTGGGATCTCTGCACAGAAGTGTGCAAAGTATGTGAATTGGTTCCTTTTCCTAACAGCATCAAATTCTGGGATCCTGAATAGAATATTTTAAAAATGTGAGTATTCTATATTTAACAATTCTCTTCCTGGCATTTTGGCAGCAGTGCCAATTCTAGTTGGATTATTCTTGACGGTTTCATTACATTACCACCTTCCTTCAACTGCTGTGGTCAGTCATACGTGGAGGTGGTGACATAATAGTATTGACATCCAATATGGTAAGCCAGCGACTCAGGCTAATGCTCTGGGGACATAGGTTCTAGCAGCACCATGGCAGATTGATTCAAATTTCATTATGTAAACTGGAATTAAAAGCTAGCTTAATGGCATCCACTGTCGACTTTTGTAAAAACACATGTAGTTTACTAATAGTCTTTAGGAAGGAAATCTCCATCCTGGAAATTACAATTGATCAGAAACTCAACTGGATTCACCACATAAATACAGTGGCTGCAAGAGAAGGTCAGAAGCTAAGAATACGGAGAGTATCTCACCTCCTAACTCAAAGCCTGTTCACCATCTACAAGGCACAAGTCAGGAGTGTGATGGAATAGTCCCCACTTGCCTGGATGAGTGCAGCTCCAACAACACTCAAGAAGCTTGACACCATCAAGACAAAGCAGCCTACTTGATTGGCACCACATCCACAAGCATTCACTCCCTCAACTACAGACATTCAGTGGCGGCAGCTGTGTACTATCTACTAGATGCAATGCAGAAATTCTCCAAAAATCCTTAGCAATCACCTTTGAAACTCATGACTACTTACATCTAGGAGGACATGGGCATCAGATACATGGGAACACCACCACCTGCAAGTTCCCCTCCAAGCCACTCGTCACGTTGTCTTGCAAATTATATATCCCTTCACTGTCGCCGGGTCAAAATCCTAGAATTCCCTCCCTAACAGCATTGTTGGTCAATCTACAGCATGTGAACTGCAGTAGTTCAAGAAAACAGCTCATCACCACTGCCTGAAGGACAGCTGGGATGGGCAATAAATTCTGGCCACCAGCGACACCCATGTCTCATGGGAGAATTTTAAAAAGCCTTACCTCATCTGGCCTACACGTGACTCCAGATTCACAGCCATGTCACCAACTCTTAACTGCCCTTCAAAATGGCCCTAGCAAACCACTCAGCTCATAAGCTATTAGGGATGGTCAATAATTGCTGGCTCAGCCAGAATGAATAAAAAAAATTCCCTTCATCTGCAAAACATTTGTACTAAATAAATGAAACCATTAAGCTGAAGTGTGAAAAGCAGCATTTTAGTGCCCCAGTGATTTTTCTCTGAGGTTACTTGCAGCAGTGTTCGCAAGATCAATTTTAATTCCTAGGGAGTCCAAGACAATCTTAGAAGCCTGGCTCAATGAAACAATAGAGAGATGGAGACGCTATGGAGCATAATCTCAGTTAACTCTGTCCATCACTTGCTTCAAATGTGCTGAAGAATCAATGTTATAAATAGAAACCCTCGTGGATGAATTTAGAAACATAGGGAAATTATCTATTATTATGCTGTTTAAAAAAGCAGATTTTAAATTAAAGGATTTAGTTTTCAAAAGATGTTTAAGGTGATACAAATGAGACTGGCTTTTCAGACAGCACAACAATAATGGAAAGCATTATTTAAGTTTTGGAAAAAAAACAATGATTTACAATTGAAGGTAACAGCGCAATCAGATCCTTTAATGTACGATCATAAAAACAAAGTTCTGGCAGCCTATGTGGAGACAGAAACAAAGGTAACATTTCCAGTCTGATATGACTCTTCACTATTCTGAAAATAACTTAGGAACTAAAGAAAGCTTTTTGTTGTTCTTCAGATAATTCCATGGGAGATTTACGTGCATCTGAGCTGGCAAAAAGGTTAGTGATGAGTCCAGAAAACCCAACATCAACAACAGTGAAGGACCAACTTGGATTATGTGCAGAAGTCCATAGTAAAGATTGAAACCACAATGTTCTGACTCAAACTGCTGAACCAAACTGATGTGCTTAGCTGGAAAATAACAGGAAATGAAAGTGACAGAAGCTTCCTGTCCCTCAGCGCTTTGTATCCTTCTCCCTTTCCATCTTTGAGCTCTCTGTCAATGGCTTGTACAATTGTTCCAATAAAGTGCAACACAAATTGGCAGATTTCCAAAAGGGTCTGAGTGATGTGGGCTATGGAAAATTGTTTGGCAGAATTGGGTGACAATTCAGTGAAATCCATTTTGACATCAGGAACAACCCATGCCATCCTTTATGCTGTTCACAAGTGTATGGTATATTTCTCACTAGGCAGTGGAAAGTTTCCAATTGACAGTGATTTTTGGTCATTAAATGCTTTGTTAATGGCCAACATGCTTCATTAATATTCATCCTCCCATCTTGCTAATCCCACCAAATGAGCTCCATGTCAGAAAGCTCGATAAGAAATCAGAGTAAGTACTTGACTGATTCAGCTTACCACCTGCTCAGAACAATCTTCATGTTGGAAACTGGACACTAACTTTTCAGGCATGCTCCATATGAACCAGCCACGTTTACCAACGTCCACATACTTTGGCATCCGGTACGTGCCACCCACTAAGAACTATCATGGCACATCTCCAATTCACTTACAGGAGGTTTCTGCAGTTTGGTGCTGCACCTCAGGCTGCACTTGCATCTATGACTGTAATGTTACAACAAGGATGCTGGGAATCAGGAACACACACCCAGCTCGTAGAGTGGAGCAGGGGTGGCCATCTCCAAGCTCTTCATTTGCTGTCATATTGCACTGTTACTCTGATGTTACTTGGGTGCTCACAGTATCTCTGCCTTGCATTGCTTTGCCTTTGCACTTTGCCCCTTCAGCTCACATTACTGCTGTTTTGCCTGGCAGTTCAACATAGACACAAAGCCTGGAAGCGTGTCATGGTTGTCAGTAGGCTTCAATCCAATCAAGGGGGATATCCTGAGCTTGGGGGTGTCTAGCACAAAAAGCCCAGGGCAGCCTCCCATACAAGGCTGCTTGCATGTCAAAACCAAAGTTGTCTCCTTATGAGGGGTGGGAGCTGAATATTGGGCAGCGCACTACCTATCCTGACTGTTCCCACCTGACTGTGGGCTGTTTCCTCCTGGAATAAGAGAGAGGCAGGACTTATGGGTGATGAAAGTGGGTGGAATAGCCATTACAGTTTAGTGCAGGTTGGAAGTGTCCTAGGCACTGTGGGTGCACAAAGGGTTAGTGGTATCAGGGGATGGGTTGGGTGACAGCGATTGAGCAAAGATGTTGCATGTGACAGTGAAAGTAGTGGAGAATGAACCTTGGTAGGAGGTGGGTAGCAGAAAGATCCATGTCCTTATGCTATTTTCCTACACAGAGTGACGAAAACACCAAAGGAATCCCTTTGTATCTGTGCGAGCTCCTCATAAGAAATAGGAACAGGACAAGGCCATTTGCCATCTGAGCCTACCACCATAGATGATTTGATGATAGGTAACAGTGAGGTTAGGTAACTGCACCTCCTCTACAATAACATTCAACACTGGAGCCCCCCCAAGGATGCGTCCTCAGCCCCCTACTGTACTCCCTGTACACCTATGATTGTGTTGCTAAATTCTGAACCAACGTCATCTACAAGTTCGCTGGCGACACCACTGTAGTGGGATGGATATCTAACAACAATGAGTCAAAATACAGAAGGGAGATAAGAGGGCTTGGTGATGTGGTACAATGAAAACAATCTGTCTGTCAACATCGGCAAAACGAAAGAACTGATCATCAACTTCAGAAAGAAAGGAGGAGAACACGCCCCTATCTACATCAATGGAACTGAGGTTGAGAGAGTGATGATGATAACTGACAACCTGTCCTGGACTTCCCATGTAAATGTGATAGTCAAGAAGGCACAACAATGCTTATTCTTCCTCAGGCGGCTCAGGAAATTTGGCATGCCCATACGGTCCCTCACCAACTTCTACAGATGCACCATAGAAATCATACTGTCTAGGTGCATAAGGCCTGGTATGGCAACTGCTCTGCCCAGGGCCGTAAGAAACTACAGAAGGTGGTGTGCACAGTCCACACCATCACGGAAGCCAACCTTCCATCCATGGATAACAAGGTGTAGAGCTGGATGAACACAACAGGCCAAGCAGCATCAGAGGCCTTCTCCTCTGATGCTGCTTGGCCTACTGTGTTCATCCAGCTCTACACCTTGTTATCTCAGATTCTCCAGCATCTGCAGTTCCTACTATCTCTTCCATCCATGCACTCCATTTATATGGCTCACTGCTATGGAAAGGCTGCCAATATCATCAAAGACCCATCGCACCCTGGTGATGACCTCCTACAACCTCTTTTGTCAGGGAGAAGATACAGAAGCCTGAACACCTGCACAAGCAGGTTCAGGAACAGCTTCTTTCCAGCCGTTGGCAGACTGTTGAATGGATTTTAACCTCAAATAATGTAATCTGCAATATAACCTGTATGCCTCTAAGTCTTTTTGATCTGTATGTCCTTTGCTTGCTGTGATCTACCTGTACCACTCAAACAAAGCTTTTCACTGTATTTCGGTACATGTGACAGTAAAATCAATCAATGTGGCCTGAATTCCACTTTCCTGCTTGTCGCCCATACCCTTGACTCTCTTATCCATCAAAAAATCTATCCTATTCAACCTTGAATAGAAACTGGTTGCACTTGCCAGCCTTTTCCTCTTTATCCTCTAATCTTTTCTATTCAAATAATTATAACCTTTTGAAAGTCATGACTGAATCTGCCTCCACTCTACTCTCAGATTCATTGCATACAGAAGTTTTTCCTCAAGTTGCCCTTGGGTCTTTTGCCATTCACCTTAAATTGGTGTTCTCTGTTTTCTCTCTATCTACTATATTCAGACTCATCATGATTTTGTATGTGCTCTCATAGGGATAGTACTAGGTACATTCTGCTATGGCACTCTGGTTGTTTGCATTTATGGAATGTACAATTTAACTGAAGAAAATTTTAACTTTTTGGCCGAGGCTTAGTTTTATTTTGGGGTTTTGCTGTAGGCCATCCTAGAATCTCACTGATTGGGATATGTCCTGAGTGAGGCTGTGCAATTGCCTACACTCAAGTGGTGTTCCCCAAGCTCAGTTGGACTGGCCAACGTGTCCACTTCTGTCAGAATCCCTTGCAACTCACATGCTCCACTTGCCACATTTTACAGCAAGAAAGCCTGTTGTATCACCTATTTGACATGCAGCTGAGCTTCAGCTAGCAGGCATTTTTGCGCAGTTACATCATTAATCCCACTAACCAGATAGTTGTCAAACATTTTGTTAATGGATGAACCAAATTAAGAGGCTACTGCCATCATCGTGACCTAGTCATAAACCCTAGTACGGATTGCCCTCATTCTTGAATTACTGAGTAAAAGTGATAATGTCTCAGAATTACAGGGGGCTTGAGGTTGTAATATTACTGAACTATGTCAGTCAATTCTTCAATTTAAATTTTAGTTTTAATATTTGGTGCCTCAGGGAAAGTTAGGCTCATAATGACAGAAAAAGCTGCAGCTCCACAGGCTGTCAGGAGAACTACCCTTGTTTCTTATCTGCCACAATGTCATTTGGGGCGGCACAGTGGCTCAGTGGTTGGCACAGCTGCCTCACAGCACCAGGGACGTGGGTTCAATTCCAGCCTCAGGCAACTGTCTGTGTGGAGTTTGCATATTCTCCCCATGTCTGCGTGGGTTTCCACTGGGTGCTCTTGTTTCCTCCCACAGTCCAAAGATGTGCAGGTTAGGTGGATTGGTCATGCTAAATTGCCCATAGTGTCCAGGGATATGTACATGAGGTGGTTTAACCATGGGAAATGCAGGGTTACAGGGTGGGGGGTGTGATTTGGTGTAGAATGTTTGGACCAAATGGCCTGTTTCCACACTGTATAGATTCTATAATGGATGGCCACAATAGGAGTTATGTATCATCTTTTAAAATACTAAACTTGTTCCAAAGTGCTTCACAGGAACATGATCAAACAGTTTAGATTGCGAAGTTAAAATTATTTATGTGAAGTACAAGTTCCAAATTTCTGGATGATGTCAAATTAGGAAAGAGGGTGGAAGAGAGAGAGGTACCCAATATCCAATACTCCGTCCTTTTGGAGGACTGCATGAAGTCATTGATGTGGTTTAGACTTTTAGGATCTATACCTTATTTAGGTACTTTGCAAACAATTTCAAAAGAAAACTTACTGCATGTTTCTGACTTTCTTAACTTAAAGAGAAGTGGTGTTAAGGACAAGTCAAAACTGCTGATAATATTGCTGTAGCAAAATCTTTCTATTTGTTTGCTCTTTCGTTTTGTGCACCTCATTAAAAGCTGGAATCTCTTTGTCAACAGGGTAAAACACTAGCTGGGCAGAATAAAGGCAACCATGTGACCTCTTCATAATTAGCTGCTTCAAGATAATTTTTGAGCATATACTCTTTTCTAATATTACTGGACAGTTTGTTAACTGCATAGGAGTATTTAGAAGGGCTTATTGACACACTGAATGTTAGCTGCGTAGAGCTCCTGGTTTACTTTTACAAGCAATTCGGGTGTCCATTGAATTACCTTAATTTAGGACTAACTACTTGAAATGTTAAGTACTAGGTAGACTACTTTGAAAATGCATTTATTAACTTTTTTAATCAGACTTGATACAAATGACAAACCATGAAGGAATAGACCAGCTCCTTTTCTGTCCTGTATCACTACCATTAGTAAATGATCACATCATGTTTTATGTGAACAAAAACATGCTGGGCTGGAGGAACACAGCAGGCCAAGCACCATCAGAGGAGCAGGAAAGTTGATGTTTTGGGTCGGGACCCTTCTTCAGAAATGGGGTGGGTGAAGGGAGCTCAGAAATAATACAAAGAGGATGGGTGGGGCTGGGGAAGGCAGGTGGGATGGTGATAGGTGAGTACAGGTAGGGAGTGGTGGGGATTGGTCAGTGGGATGGGTGGGTTGGATAGGTGGGAGAGAAGATGGACAGGTTGTGTCAGGTCAAGGAGGGAGTGTTGGACATGGGATGTGGCTGGGTGTGGGGAGATCTTAAAACTGGTGAATTCCATGTTTAGGGCATCGGGCTGTAGGCTCCCAGGGTGGAATAAGAGGTGTTGCTCCTCCAGTTTGCGTGTGGTGTCATTGTGACACTGGAGAAGGCCCAGGATGGAGATGTCACCCAAGGAGGTGGAGGGGGAGTTAAAATGGTTGGCGACTGGAAGGTGTTGTCATTTGTT